AGCCGGAAGCGCCGGAGCTGAACCCTAACAGATTTTCGGGATTTTTGTTGGGGTTGGATTTCACCCGCTCAACGTCAACGTTCAAAGAACAGACAACTGGAGAAATGACCCTCGGGACTCTCAACGTCTAAGGCGAAATGGTGCCTAAGTCCTCACGCGAAGCAAAGCAAATGATCATGTCAAGAGCCTGACCCGAGGACGTCTTCGCTGCTACGCGAGAGAGGATGTCCTCGCTGCTACGCGGGAGAGGACGACCTCGCTGCTACGCGGGAGAGGACGTCTTCGCTGCTACGCGGGTGAAGACGTCTTCGCCGCTACATGGGAGAGGACGTCTTCGGTCACTACGGGAGAGGACGTCTTCGCACACTCCAGGCCAAAGACGTCTTCACAAGCAAAGACCCAACGGACCGAAGACGGCTCAAACCGAAGTCCAGTCTAGTCACGAGGCCCAGAGAACTAACTGACTCAAGGAAGGTGACTCCACGAAGACTTAGGAGGCCTAGCCGACTTAGAGATAGTATATATACCTYATGTAAAAGCCCTTGAAGAGGCATTCGGAATGTGGTTCACAAAATCTAACAGAGCAATAACAAACAACTTTTTCATATCTTGGTGATCTTAGCTAACCCTAGAAATCTCTACCTCTTCACAAAACCCTAACAAATCTAATTGTGCTAGTTTCGACTCCCACAATTTGGCGCCGTCTAAGGGGACCAGAGAATTTCTGACACAATAAGCTAGGTTTCTACAGAGATTTAAGAAGATGTCTGGGAATAACAACGGAAGCAGCGAAGGATCCTCGTCTCACAGGAACAACGAGGAGAATGAGAACTCTGTAGAAATCCCTGCATCTAACGCCGCTAATAACCCAGCAGCCAAAACGGAGATAAAACAGACGCTCGAGACGCTCCTCAAGGGAGCCCAGGAGCAATATAAGCTCAATGAAGCAACTACGGCTGAGCTGCGGTCGCTCTCACGCAAGCGCAAGAGGTCCCGGATCAACCCACATCGCCTCTTCAATACGCCTCGGACCGGTCGGAGAGAGCGGCCTAACGCGTGGCCACCTCAGACCGCTCGTACGGATCCGGAAGGCTTGCCTCCACCTCCGCCGCGTCGGGACATCGATAGAACCCCCGAACGTGCTATGGAGGTATCGGACGACGATCAACCTCCTCATCGAAGACGTGTCCGAATGGACGCTGCTGACAGCGCTACGGCTGATGGAGAAGGAGCTCCCACCATAGCAGAACCTTATAGGAGGGAGCATGAGCGCAGGACTCCACAAATATCCCGCGACGAAGAGGTCGCTGTGCTAAAAGTACAGTTGGACCAGGTCGTCTTTGACCTGAGGATTACTAAGCTACAGATGTACCGGAGCACGGGGAAGGCTCCTGGGGTTGCTTACGTGCTGGAGAAGGCACGAAACACACCCTTCGCTGAAAACATCTCGAGGGCTAAAATCTCTGATCCCGGAAGGGTCAAGCTTCCGAGCTACGAAGGAACCTCAGAGCCTGCTGATCATCTAATGGAGCTCGAGGTAGCCCTAGGGTGGGCAAACTTCAAAGAAGCCGAGAAG